TTTCACTGAGCACCTATTATGTGCCCCTCACTCATCTTCCACTTCAGGTAAGCTGGACTCTTTTCTGTATAATGATACGCTCTGTACTCTACTTCCTCGGTGCCTTGGCTCTAATATTGCCTCCACCAGCAGTGCCTTTCCTATCCATTTCGTCTTGTTAAAAATCGTAAGTATGCTTCAAGTAAAAGCTGCATCAAAAGCCTTCCCAGGAGGTGCCTGGGTGGCTCAGTCGGTTGCGCGTCTGTCTTCAGCTCAGGTCATGATCCCAGAGTCCTGGGATTGGGCCCACATCAGGCTCCCTGCTCAGCGGGGAGTCTGCTCTCTCTCTCCATCTGCCTCTCTCCCTGCTCATGCTCTCTCTCAAATAAATAAATAAAATCTTAAAAAAAAAAGCCTCCCCAGATTCTCTCCCTCTCCCACCTTTCCATTTTCACTGATTTCATCCTCTTCTGTGCTCTTAGCACATGTGGAGCATTCCCATCCTCCCTCATGTTACAGTTATTTGTGTACATGCACTACAACATATATTCCTTAAGGGCATCTTTTTACACAGAGGTTGAATATAATAGGCACTGAATCACTGAAAGTTTAATTGAAAGAGAAAACTTTTTGTTTGAAGGGATAAGTACCTAGGACAACCAATTCCAACACCCCGATAAATTCTGACTTTCCTTAAGTAAAAAAGCCCCCAAAATGTCCATAGCTAGCTTGAGATATTGTATTTTTTTTTCTAATGGAGACTATATCAGTTGAATCAATATTTGCTTCTGATTCAAGCTTGAAAATAAAGAGAGATAAGCATCTACAACCATAAAAAAGGTTAAGCTATTTGTTGATTTATGGGCTGGTTATCCAAACTCCCCAGTGAACACAGTTACTCAACTCAAACAATTTCCTGAGGATTGGACTTTGGCAGCTTCAAATTATTACATCATGTACAAGAAGAAGAACTGTATGCTGATAAAAAATAGAAAGCCTTATTTTTCCTTTTATAAGAACTCAGAAAACTGTCATTTACAACAAATTTTCCAAAACCAGTTAGGAAGAAAAAAAGAGTGACAAGACATGTTTCACTTTGTTATAACTGACAAACTAAGAAATAACAGTTGCAGGCTACTTAGTCCATCCTTATAAGGATCGAAAGCTGTATAGATAATTTACTGACTTCTGAGGGAGGCAGCATGATAATAAAAAGAACATAGTGGTAAAAAGTGCGGCCTCTGGGGCACCTGGGTGCTCAGTCATTAAGCGTCTGCCTTCGGCTCAGGTCATGATCCCAGGGTCCTGGGATCGAGCCCCGCATCGGGCTCCCTGCTCGGCAGAAGACTGCTTCTCCCTGTTCCACTCCCCCTGCTTGTGTTCCCTTTCTTGCTGTCTCTCTCTGTCAAATAAACAAAATCTTTAAAAAATAAATAAATTTTAAAAAGTGCAGCCTCTGCAGGGCCAACTACATTGCATAGCCTCAGGAAACACCATGCTCACAATGGAGATTCAAGGGGTACCATTCCCAGGAAACACAATGTGAATTATACTACTTAGGGATCCAGAGTCAGCAAGTTAGAACAGGTCTGGATTCCGCCATCTAACAACTAACAACATCATAACCAAGTTATTGAATCAGTTATTGAAGTCTCAGGTACCTCATCAGTAAAATGGAATTAATAAATAATACCTAAGTCATGGGATTGTTATGAGGATAATGTATACATGTATAATTAGCCCAGTACCTGGTATTAGTGAGGCATAAATGCTTTGATGATCATGATAAAGAATAAGATGAATCTACATTCCAAACCTGCTCCATCACTTTCAGATCATTTACTACCTACAGTAAATGTGATCTGTTGAGAGTATTCAACAAAATTATATAGGCAAAATACTTAGGGACAGTACAGAATAGGAGCTCTGACTATGACGGCTAGAGGGGGTGCCTGGCTGGCTCAGTTGGTAAAGCATGCAACTCTTGATCTCAGGGTCATGAGTTCGAGCTCCACATTGAACATAAAGTTTATTTTAAAAAAAAGTAAATCATCATAATTGGCCATCCCCTATACCTCTCTCTTTCCTTCTTCCTTTCTCTCTTAAACACACACACACATAAACTTAATGTAAAAAATTAAACTGTAATTGATAGCACAAACCCAAAGCCATATCAAAATGAGGGCAAATGTAATCTAAAAATAATACATTCTCAATACAATTTACCTAGACTACTGTAATAACTTCCAAACTATTTTTACCTTTCTAATCCTGTCTATAAAACCCTACCAAAAGCAAACTCCGATCAATCACTGTTTAGCTTAGAAAACTTCAGTGACAAAATACAGTCAAAACTCCTTGGCCTTAAATGGCCTTCTATAATCTTAACCTATGTACAGTTTCCAACCTCATCTACCGCTAATCCCTTCAAACACAAAAAAAGATGTGTTCTGTGTATACGCCCAGCATTTTTCTCAATAAGGACTATTACTCCCTTC